CATGTTGTTAGCTTTCGTCTGGCTAGGGTATTTTGGCAATGTAAATCTAGTACAACGTGTCCTACTTCCGAAAACTTCCTTGTAATGTCATTTTCTCCATGCCACCGTCGATCAGGGTTGTCAACTAGTTTGCGATGGCTGCGATGCCCTTTCCAATGTGTTTTCGTGCCTTCTCGAGGCGTAAGTCTCTTTTATTGGTTGTGTCCATTGACTTACAAATAAATGGACGACGGGTCTAATACAAAAACCACGAAAAAAATGTCCCAAGTCAACCTATTCGAAATTTAAATTGTAATGTCATCGCAGTATCGCGCTGTCAGTCGAACAAATGAAGACTAAAGCGGAGTTTGGCGCTCTGTATACGATTTTAGCGCCTTACAAGTGCGGACACTTTTTAGCGCGGACCCGACGTCCATATAATTGTAAGTCAATGGTTGAGTCAGACAAAACTATAGCAATTTCTTGATTTAGAACCCGTTCTTGAATTTGAGCGATTTTATTTTTTCTAGAATAAGGATGTTCTGCATTATATCTTGTTTCGATTCTTGATTTTTGATTCTGTGTTCAACCCGTCGATAACAATCTTACCTCAACATTCAGATATCTCTTCTCCTAAAACATTTAAATATCAGTCGGTAATGCCGCGACTAAGGGTAACACTTCATTATTTTCTGGTAGACTGGTGCGGTACATTCGGGTAGATTCCTCCGTTTCGGGTTCTGAGGTATTAATATAACTGACTGAAGTATTTGCGAGTAGTTAGATTCATAACCTGATTGATGATTTGGCGAGTAGTCAGATTCATAATCTGTAAAGATAATAATCCAGGTATAAAGAGGGTAAGAAGCAACTGCCGCAATCGCATCGCAGCTCATTTGCCTGTATTAAACTCATCACCCCTTAAAGCAACAAAATGTACATCTATCGAAAATGAATTCGGGTTCAGACGATTCAATTTTGATGTTATCTCTCGAGGTGCAACTGAACCCGGAGCTGGAAGCGACTCAAATGTAATTATTGTCTCGGATTACATGATACTCGCATTTGGGCTCATTCGGGTTCCATTGCAACTTTAAACAAAACTCGGGTTCAGATGATACAAACCCTAACCACAATCACATTTTAGTACCTTATTCTTCTACAGTCGGATTGATGAATGCGGCCGTAATTACGCCACGACTCTATGCATAAGCCTCAAGAAGTAAAAAGTAACGCCTCAGTAATCGCGTTATAGCAATACTCAAGACTTTAATCACGTTGCGGTACTTATTGTTAAATAGTAAACTGTGTAAACGCACTCATACACAAAGCCACAATAACGTATTGATACTAAAGAAGGTAACATCGTAACGATCGTAACACATACCTATTTCTATAGCATCGCTTAAAATAAATAATGAAAGCGTAAACAATTCAAAAACATTTTGAAATTTCGTAAGCGCGCCGGTAGGAAGACAAAACATAACCTATTTTGTAACGTGAAATGTAATAACGTGATTTGTAGTTAGAACGATGTACGGGTTTGTAGATTATTATTATGTAATGTCGTTATTGATCATAACAATTTAGAAATAAGTGCAGTTCCGTACCATGGTATGCATATGCGTCCCTAGCGTCACAGCTTTCGGAATTACACAAACTGCGTCCTAAACGTTTATTTTTTTCGCAAATCTTCTCCGATTTCAAGTGTTTGCGTTTGCCACGTCTTAAAGAGCACGATAATTGAAAAATAAACGTAAAAGAAACAATTATTTTCACTTTTGGTTAAAATTTGTTCTTTCGAAGTCAATGACAGGAAAAATGGCGGACTGGCGGGAACGCTCACCTGTCGCGTAACAGTGGCAACCGCAGGTAGTTAATCAAATGTGTTCCATTTTCATAATATTTTTTTTAATTTTAGCTCTGAAAATATGTTCGATCCATAGTACATTTAGGAGTGGATTACATGCTGAATACAAAATCTTGAGGATGAAGCGACGAAACATACAGTAAGTATATCGCATAAGTTTCTCTAATTCCAAAGTAAGTAACTAAAGCACTTGTATTGTAATTTTTAATTGAATTGATATTCAATTATTGTTTGTGAAATTACTCCATTAGTTTGTTATAATTATTAATACAAAGATCGAACATTCAGAAAAAAATCCTACGATCCGGCCGGATTCGAACCAACGTCTTCTAGCTTACCGTGCCAGACGCTATACCAACTAACGGAACGAACCAGCGGACGTAACGAATTTCTCTATGTGCTTGCATCGTGTCCTTGTATTTGGTTTTTCAAGGACTCTTTAGTCGTAGTTAAAGCACTTGTGTTAAGGAAATTGGAAACGACGACGGTACTACAAACACCCGGACCCGAAACAATACAGAAAAGTCTGTTCTTCTACATTGACCCGACCGGGGATCGAACCCGGGACCTCAGACGTGGCGACATTATGAAAACCGGTGTGCAAGCCACTCACGGAGACAGTCCACTAGGTTGGTGTTATTATTGATACAAAAATCGAAAACCACAAAGAAAAGTTCCTTCGATGCGGATGAATATGAACCTGCAACTGTTTGTCAGACTAGGGCTAACATTCCAAGAGCCAGGTCAAAGGAATTTTTCTTTGTGTTTGTTTTGTTGTCTTTAAAAAATAACATGTCGACATTGAGCAATTACTATCTATCTTCAAATGACTCTACATTCCTCTTATCTGATTTCAACTCATAGGACTCTACTGAATCCATTCATACACCATACACCCCACATACACCATTTACCACCACTTACTATACATTACTCAGTTACACGCGTTACAGTTTATTATCTTTATAATAATCCTCAGTCATTGTAAAAACTTTGTGTTAGTGATAAAATCAGAATTTCCCAAAGAAATCAATTATGTTTAAATATTAAATATGACACGATAGTATCTAATCAATTCTATTACCATCTTACAACGATATAATTGTATATGCAAAACGATAAACATGTCAAACATTATTCCGCCCTAATTTTGTTACATGCAATAGTACTCTATACAACTTCGACTGCCTTTGTGACTAAACGATTACCATGCAGGACTGCCACGCAGAGGTCCCGGGTTCGATTCCCTGGGCCGGGAGAAATATTTGCATGGCCTACATCATTTCTCTCGTGAGTTTGGGTGTAATTTGTGGTTGACCATGTGTGTGTCCACGCCACTCGCAATACAGGGGTTTCCCTAATACGGGGCTATAAGTGTGTGCGTTATTTTTTCTTCTTAATTTTTCTACGCCTTTTTGGTTGGCTGGTTTAAACCGCACTTACGGACTGAAATCATGTAAATGCGTATTCTTTTTGCTATAGTACTTTATCTACACTGATAAACTGCTAGCATTACTCCATACTTGTTTCAAAATCTTAAATAAAACTATTGTTTTAATACGTTTTGCCAATAACAAGATATGTAAATTAATTAATTAAATGCAGTTATAAATGTACTTGTACCCATAATCACGGAAGAATAAAAACAATGAAAGTGCCTCAAGCCTCGATGAACAATCAAATAATAATCAAATAAACAAATGATAAAGACTATGAAATCTTGATAATGATTGGTCGTAGTTTCTAATTTAAAAAGATGCAACAAATAGTGGATGGTACATTATTTAAATTTTACCCAGTCGCTATATCGTTGAAAGTTCAACACCTTTGTTGCAAGTTACGACGTTTCGATCATTAAATTGACACCACTGGCTATGATTAAATTCACGACACCGGTTATCATTAAATTGACGGCATTGGTTGTCATTAAATTGACGGCACTGACTATCATTAAATTGACGGCCCTGGCTATCATTAAATTGGCGGCACTGGCTATGATTAAATTCACGGTGCTGGCTATCATTAAATTGACAGCACTGAGTATCATTAAATTAACGGGACTGGCTATCATCAAACTGACGGCACTGGCTGTCATTAAATTGACGGAACTGAATATTATTCCATTTACGGCACTGGCTATCATTAAATTGACGGCACTGGATATCATAAAATTGACGGCACTGGCTATCATTAAATTGACGGCACTGGATATCATAAAGTTGACGGCACTGGCTGTCACTAAATTGACGGCACTGGCTATCGTTAAATTGACGGCACTACCACATGTATTATAATTGGGTAATACATAATAAACATAATATATTAGTACTTTTATATAATAAAACGCACACACTCAACATAGCCCCACACTAGGGAAAACCTTGTGTCGCGGGTATATTTCGGATAAGATAAACTCATTCTGATTTGAGGAACTGTATATATAAACTCGACTTTAAATACCATTATTAATAAATAAGACACTGTAGGTGTCACTAGTACCAACTTCCTTACTTTTGAAATTAATATGTAAGTATTTATAAAAATGATGCCAATAAGAGTATTTGTTGGAGTGTTTAGCGCATTAGTGTTAATTGATAACGTAAATAAGTAAGTCCCATTTTTGTTTGTTGTAAATAATAGACATTACATTGCATATGCTTATCACTGCATATATGTATCAAATGAATTATTTAAGTATTTTATAAATATAAGAGAACACACCATACTACATTATAGAAATATATACGTAATTTATTTTAGTTTAAACGCGACACACACGTCCGGTACTCACTCGGTTTTAGGGTCCACTGAAAATCAGCGTCACAGCCTTGTCCCGGCGGTGACATTAGCTGAGTGGATCCTATTACATACGCCACAGCCGCACACATAACATCTACTTCCAGTTTTATGATCGAATAATTATTTATTGCCAAAATTTTATTTTTAATTAATTTTATTTAGTTTTCTTTTTTGTTATTCATTTTCTGTTTGTTTTAATTTAGTTTGTTTTAAGTTTAATTTAGTTCTGTTTTATTTTAATTTTTTTTTTTTTTTTTACTTTTAATTTTTTACTGTTTATTATTGTGTTGTGGTGTTTTGTAATAAATGTATTCTATAAATGTATTCTATAAATAGTGATCAACATAATAGAATGATTATAACCGAATGGGAACCCAAACATCCACCCTTTGATCCAAAGTTGTACGAGGAAGCCTTACATCCTGAACTATGCGCAAAACAAACACAATATTTGACTTTGAACGATACACTTTTACTGATGACATGTAAGTATTTCTACAGATTTTTATAATTTTAATATACTAATTAACAATCGATGACATTCGTTGCTTGTAATATGGAATGCCCTGTGTCTGAGGAATACAGGTGAAACTTCTCGCTAAAGAGCAGTTTTAATAACAATAAAACTCCTTTTGAAAGAGTTTATCCTGGTACGTACTGCCACCTTACCTAGTAACGGTGCTGGTGAAATTACAAGCACATGAGACTTTTCAACTTATGTCTCAGGCAGTGGCAGTGTTACTGAGATCTATGTGATGTGAGCGGCACTGCAACTGTTATGAACAGGCGTGTCGCTTACTACCAGACGCATGACTTATTCATCCCGTCACTTCGTATCATAAAAGAAAATAATAATATTTTTCTGAGTGTTCGATCTTTGTATTAATGATTACAACAAACTAGTGGAGTAATTTCACAAAAAATAATTGAATATCAATTCAATAAAAATTTAAAATACAGTGAATAGCGACATCTCTCGCCAGAACTAGTAGCTGTAAAGGTACTAACTGGGTGATAAATCTTTCATAGATTTCTCATAGATGGCGGTACGACTAAAAAGTCATTGAAAAACCAAAGACAAAGACACTACGCAAGCACATAGAAAGATTCGTTGGGTCCGTTGGTTCGTTCCGTGGCTTAGTTGGTATAGCGTCTGGCACGGTATGCAAGAAGACGTCGGTTCGAATCCGACCGGATCGAAGGAATTTTTTCTGAGTGTTCGATCTTTGTATGAATGATTACAACAAACTAGTGGAGTAATTTCACAAGAAACAATTGAATATCAATTCAATAAAAATTTTAAATAATAATAAGTTTGCGTTATTGAACCCCGAGGTATGGCAGCCACTCCCGTCAAAGGGCAAACACAGTAAGCCATGCGATAGGGTACTGGTATCGTGAAATTTGCTACCTTTTTATCCATCTACATTTGATTTGAATAGTTATACACTGAGATTAGCAAAAACTATCGCTTAGTATATCTATTCACTTAGGAACAGTATTAGCTATTGTCCTGTACTGTACTAAGCACCTGACAGCTTCTATTTTATAAATGAAAAGTCATCACCGCATTACTTTTGTCAATGCACACTATACCTAAAATATTATAACTGTTTATTTCTACATCAGCTTACAAATGCGGTTCTTGTAAAACAGTTTGAATAATTACTAACTATAGACTTCCGCCACGTACGAAAAGCCACAAAATGTAAATAATGGACTATGGACCCCCAATATTACAAAAAATGTTGGATTACAAAAATGCATGAATGAAATGGGTACATCAACCGGCCTCTGATATCGCACAATGACATTAATCTGTAATTAATATTTTTATCCGTTACAAGAATCGAGTTGTAGTGTGCTTTAAATATGAAAATACTGAAAGAAACAAAAATGAAGTTGAAAAACTTTCATGAAAATCATATTGAACAAACAAATTAATGTAATTCAGAAAAAAAGCAATAAACAAATATCTAACAAAGACGCAATGGTTTGTTTCGTAGAATTTGACAATGAAGCTATATTGGTCCTCGACATGCTATTCTTATTACTTACGAAGGTTAAAGGTCTATTTCCGGTCGAAAGTTAATACATAATAATTTAATGTTTGAGAGACAGAATAGAAAAAAATTAAGCTGTATTGCTTTATGGGCTTTTAATAATATTGATCATCTCTAAAATATAGAGCATAAAATCTCTTGATAGTGGACAAGGAAGCGGACTCCACACACAGCGCTGTTAATTTGCAAAAACATAAAACTAATCTTTATTTACGAAACAGTATATGAACTTGTAAAAAAACAGTCTTGCAATAGAATAAAATCATTTATTTCATAGGATCAATGTTAGTAGTATGCAGTGTGGTAAATTGAAACAAAGTAATAAACACAAAATATTGTTTAAATACAATAACGACCATTGAAAATAATATTATTATGATCGTTCCGAAAGAAATTCCACTATAAAAAGAAATTACACTATAGAATTTTGCTATGCCAGAAAAGGAGTTTCACTTGGGTCTAAAATATTTCGCTGCTTGTAATACTTGAAAGTATTTGCGGGTACTCGCGGGTTTTACATTCCAGGTCCAGTATGGTACCCCACCTACCTAAATAACAAAATAAAACCGAGACACAAAAGAAGCAACTAAAGCAAAAATTTCAATAAAATTAGGACCTGAGAGGATTGTAAAAACAAAGACTTACTTTTCTAAGTAAATGTAAATCCTAAGAAAATCTAAGAAAATGAAAATCCTTTCTAAAGGAACTAGTAAAAAATATGATTCTCTTTTGCATAAAAGAATGGGTTAAAAAAAAAATCCTTAACTATGGCAAAAAGTATCATTTCCCCGATGGACAACGAGCTTTTCTACTTAACTAGAATAACAGATTCAGACACAAAAAATGTGACAATTTAAAAAGTCACGTTCCGATTGAATAATACTGAATAGTACAATCATGACATTCAAAAAATTCGATCGGTGAAACTAGTTACTTTTTATTTCTTTTCCAATTATTACAAGTATAATGAAATTTTTAAACATATTTTAAATTAGTTTAAATTACATGAGTATACGTGAAAAGGCTGATATGCTATAATAATATAACTGACTGTTCGATTTTTAAGGAATTAATTTTTTTAAGGTTTATTCTGCAAATTACGAGATGTGCAGAAAACAGACTATTATCAAATGAGATTGTGATCGATATATATTATAAATGTATACTTCTATTACTTACAGTTCTCGAGTCAGGCCCAAGAATACCGAGAGGGATTCTGCAAGGAAACTTTCAAGATCTAGGAAATTACCACCAATGCCTTGGTATTAACAGAGAAATCGATGATATGGTTATTGATGGGAAGTATTGTCAATTAAGCGTTGGATTATCCGATCTTGGAAACTTTGGAAATCCTACTGAATATCAAAACGTAATAAATGCTGTCGATACTATAAAGGATGAAATACATTTATATAATAGATTCCAAAAAAATGTTGAAATTCTGGGTAGCATACAAAGCGAAAAAAGTTTAAGGTAAGATTCGAAATTTGCAATGATTCATTTTGTATTTGGCAGTAATTTGCTTTAACAATAGTAATTCATTTTTTGTAAATTTTACTTATCTATAACAGAATAGCCAATAATATTACTTGATGACGAAATCTATACAATACCTTAAGTATTTTTTTATTAAATTCTACGTACCGACATACGTAGTTAGTACATACGACCGAGATTTATTTTGCGTAGATGTATATAAGACGTGTGGCTTTTCGTAATGTTTCGTAACATTCTATATATTTCTACTTTTCAGAACAAATGAGGTTGACATGGGTGGTTTACGCTTTACTGTAGCTATTTGTATACCTAAGCCTTGCTCGACAAGACGGGCATTATCAAATCTCATTGGAACTGAGTTGATCAATTATAGGGAACAAATGTGCCGATTCAGAAATGACAAACCCTGGTCACCGGGACTTTATGTGGCTATGTAAGTACATCTTGGTTTTACTTTTCAACTATAACTGAAGTTATAGTTGTAAACGATACAAAGGGTCGTATTAATTCACTTTGAATTACATGCTATTTATTAACGAGCAAATCGACAAATTTAACAACACTATCGGTTGTTATTTAAAATTCTTTTTTCATCATCACGAGCAAATGGCAATCATCAATGACAAAGAATGTGTATATAATTATGCATGTATCAAAAACGTTTTTCGTTTTTCAGTGTTGTCTTCAGTTTAATTGGAATTCTGGCCATTCTTAGTACCAGCTACGATATCTGGAATACTGTAATTCAGAAACGAGGCAAGTTCCTATTATGTACTTATATCAGCAAGTATATCATGATATGAAATTGAGTCTGTTCGTATCTTGACGATACGGACAGTATTAAGATTTTCTTAACCTCCACCCAATAACAATTGTATTGTTCATGGTCTTTATTTATTTAAATTATTTTGAACGAAATCTTTGTTATATTATCTATCTTTGTTATAAAGTATATTACAAAATATAATTTTCTTAACATCTGTGTTAATGACTACTTATTTATTAAATATTTTACTATACTGATCCGAGTACCTGAATGCCAAATGTTATATCTAGTCTGCTCGGACTGCCGCAGTTTTTTTCGTTAGGGTTATCCTCTCTTCGTTCTAGTTAGAATACGTATTATCATAATTATTTTCTTTCCCAGAAAGGAGCAATTTTGTTAGGTATCCATTTTCATATTCGAGCACTAACGTAATAAGCAGAATATTATAAAAGTATGTGACTCAACGTGTTAATACAAACCCTACGAAAGCGAGTATTTTAATTTTTAAAGGACAATAATATTTTTCATATTTCTTTTTTTATTTCAGATCCCAAAGCGCTCAATACAATTTGTCTCTCCTTCTCAGTATACACAAATTCTCGTCGCCTAGTCACGTATAAACCAGTTCGCGGTTCTTTAGAATGTGTGGACGGCATCAGAGCAATAACTATGTCTTGGATTATACTTGGACATACATTTACTCGTCTTCCACCTATCATGAATTTGCTGGAAGCTTTTCAGGTACCTTGATTTTATTATTATGTTTTAAAATGTAGTTGGAGACGGGACTTTCTATTTATGCAGAAATCGCCTTTATTGGAACCAACCCCCTATGTATTAATGTAGCAAACCGGTACACTTTTGTTGTCATTCATTCAGCGCAGTCTCAGGAACATGATTGTAATATAATGTTCATTATCCGGCAATATATTTGCTACATTCAAAATATTTTTTACTATCGAATTACCATTAGTTAGTTTGGCTGACAGCCCTGTTGTTTAAACACCAATAATAATATTTACTATTTAAAATAACTGTACCTAGAAGCCATGTGACTTCGTTACAAAACTCGTCAATATCTATTGCAGATTGCTATGTCATTTCGTTCATTTTGGATGACTTCTGCCGATATTAGTGTGGATACATTTTTCATGCTAAGCGGTTTGCTAGTCGTCTACACTACTGTTGGAAAAATTAGTAGCAGTGAGTATTTAATCTACAATCATCACTTGATATTGTTTTTAAAAACTGACACAAGAAACTACCTATTTCGTTGTTTATAATATTTCAAATCGTGATTACTATATCCACGCATTTTTTTATTTTATTTATAAACAAACAAAAGACGCTTAAACATTTCGGATCCTTTCTATCATAATAACCAAAACTGTCACCAGTAATATAGGCCTTATTGTCGTAAAATTCAAATAACCTTTGTTTATTATTATGAATACCCGCTATTGCTCAATCACTAAATTTCAGAAATAATTTAAGTAGATTTATAATTACCGTAAGTACGACTCTTTATCTTTTTTTTATACTTTTGGTGTAGTTTTTGCAATTTTTAACTGCGCACTCGTCACCAGGTGATGAGATGAGGGCGAATGAATATCGATAATGTTTGCCTACATTGTATCTACCAATATATTTGACCGTAGCTTACACAGCGCTGTAACGTACAAATTTCACTATTTTTTGTTTCCTATTCACTGCAAAAATGTTATACATGTTGCTAACCGGTCCTAGTTGAGGTCATAGGTGAGGTCAAAGGTTGCGGGAAACTGTAATATTTTAATATTGCTATAATTATTTAAAATTTTATAGTTTCTAGAACATAAGTGGCTAATCGTTATATATAGTTTTATTACTGGGTCGTCAGTATGACTAATAATTAAGTACTTTTTAAAACATGAGATTTCTCATGTAAAAGCGTCAAGCACTGAGACATTAATCGTACCAATATATTTGATCGCAGCTTACAAAACATTATAAGGTACAAATTTACTAATTCTAACTAACTCTTTCTTATTCACTGCATAAATGTTATACATGTTGCTAACCGATCATCAATATTCATTTTGTTTATCTTACAGTGAAACTATTAAAGAACCTCCATCTTTTTTACCTCAATCGATATCTACGAATGTTTCCTCTACTAGCCATTACCATATTGCTGCAAACCGGTGTGTTACATTATATTTATGATGGCGCAATGTGGAGTTTTGTAGCTAGTGCGACTGCGATTTGTAGAACGAATTGGTGGTTAACATTACTTTATGTGCAAAATTTTTTCCCACCATTGGTACGTATTGTCGTTTTTAGACTCTGCAATATTGAGTAATATAAAGAAATTCCACTGATTTTCAAATTTTTTAATATTTTAACAAATGGCCAAGGAAAGTTGGAAATGGCTATTTATTTATTTTATGTTCAGTATAATCTGAATGTAAAAAGATTTGTATTACCACACGTGTCTGTAGGCAACGTTAGTTCATGAATATTCAAGGACAATTTTTTTAATACTTAAGTTTATGTTTGCTTCCAGTGTATAGGTCATACCTGGTACTTGGCGATTGATATGCAACTACACATTCTGTCTCCACTGGTCTTATTCTGGGTATTGTCAGGAAAACAAAATCGCGCCTGGTCGGCTTTGATAGCTGCTTTATTAATTTGTCTCACTGCGACGTCACTTTACAACTTCTTGAACAATTTTGCTGGTTCTACTGTACGACCTACGTAAGTTTAGTATCGATACAAATTAAGCAATTCATGTTATCAAAACATTTACTATCACACACATCAATTACAAATATGAATATAACTTTACCCTTAAAAATCATTCCTTACTTTTATTATATCCACCTTTTCATCCATATCAAACACCCATCACGTCCCAGTTCAGGGCAGGGATTTTATTTTACCGCCAAGGACTAACTCACTAGGATATTCTTCAGAGTTGTTATACCTAATTAGATAAGTAAACTGCACATGATATGAATAGACTCAGTGGCGGAAGCCCTTTCAATGGGATTTGAATCGAAGACCTGCACCTTAGGACCCAACTTTGTATTTACTATTTTGTCACTGCTACCTACGGCTCGACTAAACTTTTTGATTTCAGACTGAGCCTAGATGAAGCTGAAAGATATGGAATGTACTATTACGTCAATACATTAGCAAGATCTTCACCTTTCTTTGTCGGAATGTGCTTCGGATACTTGATCCATTACTGGCGAGATAAGAATATTCGTTTGTCAAGGGTAAGTTTTAATACTTATTTTTTCAATCGACGAATGAAAGGCGATAATTATTTTATAACGTTGTGTAGAAATGTTACTGTCATTTACAGTACAGCGTTGTTTGAAAAATAGTAACAACCTCGAGGACTATTATTACTATCATCATACACAACAGCTTTAGTTCCATGACTTCTTACAAAACGTAATATTGTTTTGTTATTAATTAATTAATTATTGTTGTGTTTTGCTTCTTACAAAATATAATTTTTATGGTGCCACTGAAAACCAGCGTAATGAGGCGTTCTTCAACGTCTCATTACACAAAGCTAAGTGGTGACCGTTTTGGTAACATATAATGTATGATTGTGTTTGTTTTGTATTATTTATTGTAAAATGTTGCCAAATAAATTATTTTTCTTTCTTTCTTTCTTTCTAATAAATTCACCAGCAATAAACTTTTTAAGTTTTTGTTGTACTCTCTACCACTTCTGAAATCTGTATTTTGGAGTAAGACAGTTAGGTACAAGTGTGCAAACGTCGTTCTCGACGATTCCCACCCCAGCTCCCGCTTTTTGCATTGAACTGATGGTCTTTACGCTAGCGATTTGTATTGCTGCCGCACAGAGTTATCACCGTTTAGAGCGATCTATTTAAATATTTTTATACGAAAGAGTGAAAGTTGTGAAAGAGTAGGGCAGGGCAGTACTGCCACCTCACCTATTTCTGCCGCCAAGCAGTAATGTGACCATTACTGCGTTCCAGTTTTGAAGGGTAATGGTGGTAGTGAAATTACAGGCATATGGGACTTGTTAATTTATGTCTTAGGGTCACGGGCGCAGTGACAGTGCCCCTCAGATCTTTGTAATTTCAAGTTACTTCTCAATTCGACTGTTTTCTTATTTTACTTATACAACGCGATAACTCCAGCATTTCTGAACCGATTTTAATGATTCTTTTTTTGTTAGAAAGAAGGTGCCTCAGTAGCGGTCCTATTTAAATTTAAAGGAAATGTTCCACCTCTAAGGGTGGCAAACTAGGGGATGAATGCCTTTTGAGGCCGGTTTTTTAGATTATTCTGCCAGATTGTTAGTATTTTACAAATAACGCTGTATATATCGGAAAAAATCTACGCCCAGTAGGATTTTGATATAGTGTGCAGAACAAGCAGTCGCAGTAAACAATTTTGTGTGAAAATGTGACACGCGTCGGTCTTATGAATCGAATAAAATCTTCAAACAAAATGTCGACTGCCGCGTCGGTTTATAATTTTGGCATAGCGTACATCGGGCGCACTATAAGAATAAGAAAAAATACTATAAATGGTCAGAAATTAATTTATTGTTTCTCAAAATATTCTCCGTTAGCGTTAATGCACTTTTTCATACGAATGAATCAATTTTGAAAACATTTATGCCACTCCTCCGTGACAATCCCTGAAACATATTTTTCATACTCTTCGACAGCCTCTTCAGGTGATGAAAATCGTTGACCGCGTAACGGGTTCTTAAGTTTTAAAAACAAGTGACAATTAGATGAAACAAGCTGTATTCTATAGTCAAACAGTTCCATTTTCAAATGTAATTACTTTTTAAATATTGTTTATGTAAGTTGCCAGTTCCGGAAACTTATAGTGCGCCCTATGTACTTCTGATAATGGAATTACAGTAATTGTTATCTTGCAGATTTCAAATTTCATATTATGGATCGTCAACTTAACCGCAATGTGGTTGGCAATCTACTCGACCGAGCCCATGAAAAATATTGACTACGATAATCAAATTTTCGATAATTTTGTGAATTCTTATAGGCGACCTGTATGGGCTTGTGGACTTGGTTGGATTATTCTTGCATGCGCTGAAGGTTACGGAGGTGAGAATATAATTATATACTCGTATAAGTCGGAACCGTCATGGCTTAGAACTGAATCTTCAGACTTCCTTTTGACTGATTTAGGGATCGTACAAAGAGATTGCGTTTGACAGTAACACTGTATATATTAATCACTATGAAATCGAATAACAACTTGTACTTTTTATTAATTTTAACGATCAAAATAGGTACTAGGCGAAACGCAGGACAGGACAAGTTCTTAGGTAGCGTGTATGCAGCCCGAGTGTCGAACCACCACTGTGTCCTCTCGTCTACCACCACTATTCCCCACCCAGATTCCGTTCATCAGCAGGGGGGGGGGGGGGGGGGGGGATACACTCTGTAACCTGCAGGTGGCGCCTCTGTTTCGCAGTTTGTCGTCCGTGCTCATGATCGTTTCCGACATATAAATCATTCGAAAATATTTATTAAATAAAAAACAATTGTTGAATTATGTTACCGTAATATAAACTCGTGGACATATTTAGAGGAATCGTTATAAAAAGTTTGAATTATGATAACAATGTTTATCTATGACACTAATCACATACACCAGAAAGTTAAGGGGTTGACGTTGGTCGCTTCCGTACGTTTACCCCCGAGACCCTACAAGTGTCCCCTGCGTGGTGCTAAAGAGCAACAACTACTGGTGGTAGGCTTCGGCCGTGGCTAGTCAGCACCCTCCCGACGCAATCGAGTCGCAAAATGTTTCTTACCGTTTTCCGATTCGTGTTCGGGAGTTGCCATTAGTTTTAGGCAACCAATATTCCTACTATCCGCTCACGCGATAAATGCAGCCGTAGACGCATACCACACCTAGAGCTGCCGGTGATGATTTTATACCGATTTATCGGATATCGAAGTTATAACAGGTAAAAGAACTAATATTAATTGCTATTTCGGTAACTACTCTAGCAAACCATAAAGTTTTTAATGCCTGGGTTTAAAAAAAATAAACTACTTCAAAAATACGTCACGACAATCGTGTGTGTTATTGTTTGGGCTGGTGATTTCGGTGTTTATTTTTTTGAAAACATACCGTAAGTAGCGTTTTTTAAGTTTACTCTGAATATAAATGTTTATAAACTATATTTTAAGGAGTAATTTCATGGTAAACGTTAGAACCACTCAAACGGAATATTATCATATTTATCCAAGTACACCAAAATTTTCATTAGTGCTTTTTAAGTGCAGGATTTGCGATGTATTACTGAATTTTATTTGAGATGTTTTTGTTGGTAGTACGGAGAGTATTTATTTAGCAATGCAGAATAATAATTTTTATTTATAAAAACTTGTATTTAAACTGAATGCTTTTCTAATTTGCGAAACCAAATAGCCGCCATTTTGCGGTAGGAGGAGCGCATCGCGTGATCGGATAACAGATAAAAGAACTAATATTAATTGCTATTTCGGTAACTACTCTAGCAAACCATAAAGTTTTTAAAGCCTGGGTCTGTCATTTAAAAAAAACAAACAACTTCAAAAATACGTCACGATAATCGTGTGTGTTATTGTTTGGGCTAATAATTTCGGTGTTTATTTATTGAAAACATACCGTATGTAGCGTTTTTTAAGTTTACCCTGAATATAAATGTTTATAAACTATACTTTAAGGAGTAATTTCATGGTAAACGTTAGAACCACTCAAACGGAATTTTATCATATTTATCCAAGTACACCAAAAATTTCATTAGTGCTTTTTAAGTGCAGGATTTGCTGTGTATTACTGCATTTTATTTGAGATGTTTTTATTGGTAGTACGGAGGTTATTTAGCAATGCAGAATAATAATTTTTATTTATAAAAACTTGTATTTAAACTGAACGCTTTTCTAATTTGCGAAACCAAAAAGCCGCCAATTTGCGTTAGGAGGAGCGCATCGCGTGAGCGGTTACGATGTAAATAATGCTATATTTAAAGTAGTAGATTAGTTTGCAGTAAATAACCTGTGCTCCTTAATAAGATAAAAAGGGAGCTCCTGGATACCAACTTGGGCCCTTTGACTCGGTTCAAAGACGTGCTGTGGAAAATTGTTGACGATCCTGTGCCTACAAACGATATTGAACCACTGTCTTGGAGGAGAGACTTTACCTCCCTATGCCTGTTCTATCGCTTGTACAATGGCCAATGTTCTGAACAACTGTTTGACATGATGCCAACAGCAACATTTCATCATCGCACCACTCGCCACCGACAGTGAGTTCATCCTCACACCCTGGAACCGAGTCGATCTCGCACTGTACGGTTTCAGAGGAGCTTTCTCCCACGTACAATCAGGTTGTGGAATGAACTCCCTGTCAGAGTTTTTCCGCAGGAATACAGCACGGAGTCCTTTAAAAGGGGTTTGAGAAGGGTCCTAAAGGGTTGGCAACGCGCTCATGACGCTCCTGGTGTTGCAGGCGTTCATAGGCGACGGTGACCGCTTTCCATCAGGCGGGCCGTATGCTTGTTTGCTGCCTACATAATATAAAAAAACCAAATTGTGTGAAATTTACGTTATCTAATGTTAGGCAGTCGGGTACAAACAATGTAATCAGAAACATTGTATTGAAGGTATCAAAACGGCTCAGTTCTGTACTGTACGCGATTAAACAAATACGAAAACTTTCAGATGTCAAAACAGCTAGAGTGGTTTAGCTCTGCTACACTAATTCTTACATTAGCGTCACAGTATATTTACGAAAATGTTATTTATGTTAAGAACAATATAATTTTTTAATTAAAAATAGTGACAGTTGTAACATTAACACGAGAAATAAAAATAATGTAGCTATTCTTGAGAGTTATCTTCACAAATTCATTTAAGGGGCAATATAAGCTTCTATATTATAACAAGATTCCAGTTGATATTCAAAATTTGCCATTTACGACGTTTAAAACTATAGTGAAACCAAAACTTTATAGTAAAGGTTATTATACAGCTTCTGCGTACTTGGATGACAAAAATCAGTGGTAGTGATCCATTGTTGCAGGTAGTCTCAATCTAAGATGTTTGAAATAAATATTGTAAATGTATTCAAATGTACATTTAAACGAGCAACCCCTAGAGATCCTTGCTCATTCTTCTCAGGGGAGGCCTTACGAATGAGCAGTAGAGTTTAATTAATATGACGATTTCCAGTGTAATTTGCTTACCTATGAAATAAAGATGATTTAAATTTGGATTTTCAGGCCCCATCAACTGGTTCCTGTCACTGAGATTTTGGAAATTGTTGTCTCGGCTTTCGTATGCGATGTATTTGTTGCATGTGCCTATACAATTTGTTATAATCGGAGCAGCTACGCAACATATTTACTTTTCCACATTATATATTGTAAGTATCTACTAGTCTGCCTTGTTTAAATAGCGTTATTGTGTGATGTCATCTACTAGTTTAATGCATAAATAAAAAATAGGAATAAAACCAATGGAGGCGAAGTATTTGAATGTGAGCCTAGATTTTAGGAAGTAAGGCATGGGGTGGGGGTCACCCGCGCGTCCCGCAATTTGCACGCGGAAAATTAATATGATTAAATAAGAACAGGTGGAGAAAAATCGACACAGATCAGACGTTGATAAGAACCCGATGGCAACAAACAAGGCAGCGGACGGCGCGATGTATCGTTAAACTGCTGGGACATTTTGAAGTTTTGTAATAAATGTGAACTTAATGACTATAGGGTTTCAGTTGAAAGTCAATATTTAGCACATTCTCTGTAATACTTAAAAAGATATATCTCCAGACAAAAATGATGTGCACAGTCAGATATTTTATTCTTAAATAATTCGTTTCATATATTTATTTTAGCCTGTTTTCGGAATTTTATATGATCGGGTAAAGTACATCTTATCGTGTAACAAATTAGCATATTTTTAGATAAAAAATTATCCTTGTTTTGTCCAGCCTGTTCCCAAACTATACAAAAATTGTGATTACTTCAAAATTAGCTTTTTTTATGATACTAAGTGACGGAATGAACAAGTCGTGCACCTGGTGGTAAGTGACACCCCTACGCAGTTGCAATACTACTCAGAGGTTTAAATTGCTCAGATTTGAGGGGCACTGCCACCGCGCCCCACCACCCGCAGACATAGGTTGACAAATCCCATGTGCTTAAAATTGTGTTATAATAATGCCTGAAAGAAACAGTTTTTGGCTATTATTATAATTAGCAACGTGTCTTAGATAAATTTAGATAGATAGGATAAAGTTAAAAACAATAGGTAGAGTTTGTGTAATTAATACTAATAAATTAAGTTAAAACTGGCATTACTCTAACATGAACAAAAATAAATAGGCATTAATAAATGTTTCATAAATACATCGTTTGGAATTATTTTTTTACTCAAAGGGTTCGAATAGGTTTTGGAGTACTAGAAAGTTATTTGTCATTGATTTACCACATAAGCGCTTTGCTTCAAATTTGCTGATGCAGCAAAGGGGCAGAAGTATTTCCGGAAGACCACAATTCGGGGCTGTTCAAGACTAGAGTAAATAAACATTTACTCGACGAAGCATTTACCTACTTTAGCAGTGTTTGTGAAACGCGCGATTGCATGACACTGCATCGATGCAGTCGCTTATGTTGAATATTAAAAACTGTTATATTTTTTATTACTATTAAAAATTCTATGCTGCTTAAGTCACGCGTGTGTGTAAAGATAGACAATTAGCGACTACATTCATCCCTGCAGACATGAAGCCAAAAGTCGCCTTGTATAACCGCTCTAAGTTCGTCGGCTACATCGTCATTTAACTTCAGGTGATATTTGGGACCAAGTGTTCGTTTATTTAAAGGTACCAATTACGTCAGTTTTAATAGTTATTTTTGATATAAGTGCGGAAAGTTAGTCATTATTATAAAATGACAAATCCGCACGTGTATCAAACGGCGTTTTTAATACATTTGCGAAAAAACTACATTGAAAGTAAAATAAAACAGTATTAAAAAAAAACTCTTTTTCTTTATTAAATTGCAGCAGAACAACAATCTTTAACATTTTTGTTTTGTTTCAGATGTACATTTTTTGTGGTCAATATGTGATATATTTCATATTCAGCTTTATTTTCACAATTCTGGTGGATTCTCCGTTTTCTAACATTTTCAAGATAGTATTAGGAAGCGGTAAGTTTTATTAACTAGTTTTACACTTGGAAATATACTATAGGGTGCTATTAAATTAGGTGCGTATATATAATACATATGTACAAATTATTATTATCAAATTGCGATAATCTTGTAACACAGTTATATTTTTATATAAAGGCAAAACATATAGGGAATTGAGGGAATGTTCAATTCTAGTGTTTCGAACACCGGTAGTAGCAGTAGAGCTCCTTGTGAAAGAGAAGTACTGCCGCCTTACCTATTTCTACCGCCAAGCAGTAACGTGAGGATTACTGTGTTCCGGTTTGGAAGGGTTGTGGTGCTGGTGTAATTACAGGCACATGGGATTTATCAAGTTATGTCTCGGGGTGACGGAAGCAGTGCCAGTGTCCCTCAAATCTTTGCGATTAAAGCTCTGAGTGGCACTGCAATTATTATGAACAGGCGTGTCGCTTACCACCAGGTGCACGACTTGTTTTTCCTGTCATTTAGTATTATAAAAAAAATCGGGCGCAATACATCTGCAACTCTCTTTCTGCTGCATGTCAATGATATGTTTTCAGGTACCTTTGCGTATGCTGATGACAGCACAATTTTAGATAGGTATTTGATCAATGGAAGGGTCAGTGGAGATGAAGTCCAGTCTTGTCGAGACTCCATTGGTTAGTCGTTTGGATTTGAAACTTAAGGCGGTTTTCGATTGGGGCGATGCCAATCTTGTCAAATTTAGCGTTTCCAAAATGCAGGCGTATCTATTTTCCACAAAACGAAGTCCCTTTGACCTGACTCCGACTTTTCATGATATATCCTACCGATAGCCGACTATCTCCAGCTACTTGGAATGGACCTGTCCGTCCAAATTGAACTTCAGTAGATGCATAGAGTCAATGGCCAAAAATGCAGCCAGGAACTAAGTGGCATCCTTTCCAACGTGAGGCGTTACTTTACACCGGGACTGTTGCTTCAGCTGTACCAGGGTCTAGTCCGGTCGTGGGTGGTTTACTGCTGCCACTTATGGCAAGGCTCTGCTACGTATCAACTGAGTAGAAATCGACAAACGTGGCAAGAGGCTTACAGGCGACTTGGAATTAGTAGAGGCAAAGCTGCAGAGCCTTGAACACCGTCGTAAAGTTGCCTGCTTCAGTTATTCTACAGGATATATCACGAGGAGTGTACGAATGGAATTGCACGATTTAATTCCACCTGCCCCTTAGTATTATCGGAGTACTAGATAGGCTTGGGTTCCACCCATAGGTTGTGGATATTCCAAAGATTCACACGAACCATTACGCTTCCATATTTATATGGCGAACGGCTATGGAGTTAAATTCCCTGCCACCAGCCACCAGACTTATTCCCTGAAAGTTATAAGTTAGGCATTTTCAAGGCGAGAGTGAATAGATATTATTTCGATGTGCATGCTCCATTGTCGACCTCATAGTGATTTTCCATCATGTGAAATGGAGGTTAAATGCCCACTTACATATTTAAAAATACAGAAATATAGCCATGGTAGCCAAATGGTTTGACCTACTTCCTCTCAAACATAGGCCGTGGGTTCGAATCCAGGTTTGTACCTCTGAGTTTTACGGAATTTATATGCGAAATTTTTTTAATATTTTATATTTTACAGGTATCAAAAAATCTAATCCAGACCCACGAGGTGATGAAAAAACATCCGAAAATCCACTTGTGGCTAGACAGCAGGAAAAAGAATTAACCAACGAGCAAAACAAAAACTTGTAATGATTTATAAAAATTTACTTTAGACTTGTAATGATTTTTATAAAAAGTGAGTTATTGTTATTATTAAGTAAAAATATTTAGTACAATAATAATTGAGAGTTCTAATGAACTTGTCAAATTAAACAGTTGTTTAGTTTACTAATACCGTGGTAGCCTAATGGTTTGACCTACCGCCTCTGAAACAGAGGATTGTGGGTTCGAATTCGAGCTAGCACTTCTGAGTTTTTCGAAATATAAATGTGAAATTCAATTTGGAGTTTACTATCAGCTTTTTAGTCAAGGAAAACGTCGTGAGGTAACCTGCACACATTTGCAAAGCAATTTCATGATGTGGTGTTGTATTGGGCCCGCTATGGAGCTACAGCCTTAAGCCCTTTCATTGGGAGAAGGGGCCTGCATCCAGCAGTGGGACTATAGTGGGGTAATTTAAAAAAAAAAAAATTAACTAAGCACATTTTTTTAAGTAGGTACAAGTTAAATTACAAATAATAGCGACATCTCTAGTCAGGGTTGGTAGCTGTAAAGTTACCTAACTGGGTGATGAAATACTTTCAAAGATTTCTTATAGATGGCGCTATGGGTAAAAAGTCGTTGAAAACCTAACACAAAGATCCGACAAACAAGCACATATAAAAATTCGTGAAGTCCGCTGGTTCGTTCCGTGGCGTAGTTGGCATAGCATCTGCCACGGTTTGCTAGAAGACGTCGGTTCGAATCCAGCCGGAAAAAAAAAATCTATAATAAAAATCTTTGTATTAATAATTAAAACAAACTAGAGGAGGAATTTCACAAAAGATAATTGAATATCAGTTCAATACAAATTTAAAGGAGTATAGTAAGTATTTTTTGTACGTGTATGTTATGCGAATAGTCTGGCTGCTTTTACTTGATATTCAAAGGAATGCCGTCTTTATTTAGTAGATATTAAATTCTATATTGTTAAGCATCTACAACGCAGTTCGCCTTTCAAAGAAATATACCTTATTGTCGAGTAACTAAGTTACACTTTGTATAGCCCGAGGTGGGACAAGCAGGCGAGCCTTGCTGCGGCAATGCGGCTTTACTTTTTTGTTACATGAAATTTTAGGAGATAATATTTTGTTCTTTAGTATATAGCATTTTGTGCGTTCGCCGCCGCCCGTTGACGCTGCCGTCGCTTGTTGCTTCTTCGTTTTCATTTTTTGTTTAAAGAAACGTTGCCTTATCTCATAGAGGATAAAGTTTATGTTATAACTCTTAATCGGTTCTAAAAATAGGTAAACCAAAACGCCTTGAATTGGAGAAGTAGCAAAATCAACCATTAAAATAATTGCTCCTAAATTAAAGTTAGGCGCTATTTATAAAAAATGAATTACTTGATTATGGTTACTTACATTCATTGTTATTTAGTAAGGAACATGATGAGAAGTATATTAGTTAAAAGAATATAAGTGAGGGTCCGGTAGTAATAAATTCCGTCTTATATTTCTTGTAAGTTGAGCCAAGTGCCACTTGTGAATCTATTAAATGCATCAATAAGGCAAAGAGTATTTTCGGAATCTGTGAACGGGCTCATTAGTACTTATTTATAGAATAGAATACTCAATACTCAAGTCAGGACTTGAGTATTGCAGTGAGCATTGAAAATCATACTCAAGTCCTTGCCGACGACCCTAATCGTCTTTCCAGTGCTTGACATCATAATCAAGTCTGCTCAAGTCCTGACTTGAGCATTGAGTAGAGTTCTGGAATACGAGCCCTAGTTTCATCTAGCGTTCACTATGGGCAGGACAGTTTCCGCAAAAATAGATAAGATGCATAAAAAAATGTACTGACCGTTATAGATAATGAATTTCATATATTGTAATTAACAAAGATAATACATTTTTTGTTGCTATATTGTTTAAATTACATTGTATAATTTTTATAATTTAATATAATTTTTAATAAATCGTCAATATTATTCTAATTAGTGAATTAATGAAAAATATAATAGTATGTCGATATAAGTACCTAATGAACTTACGTAATTATTAGGATTCTATCATTGACCTACCAATAAATGGACGTCGGGTTCGCGCTAAAAAGTGTCCGCACCTATAGGGCGTTAAAATCGCATACAGAGCGTCAATCGCGCCACAGTCTTCATTTGTTCGACTGACAGCGCGGTTGTCAACTGTGCAGTACCATATAAACCCATAGTCTAAGCATATAATAATAACTTGTAAAAATTACTGCAGTAAAACGTAAAAACAGGATTTTGTATCATATTTTCACTAAACAAATATATTGTGTTATCATAGTTATAATTTAAAAGTGTTGTTTTGTATAGTTGTATAGTAATTAACTTATATATAAATTAATCGTAAATATAAATTACAAAAGCAAACAAAATAATCAAATAGCTAACTGTCATTTTTCTACACATTGCATGCGCAAAAGATGATAAGAGAGACCCATTATGTCAATTTCAAGAAGCTTATATAAACTTCTTGGTCATTTTCAATTGTACGAAACATAAGCGATTGAAATATTTGGAACAAAGAAACTATAGAGTCGCGTTGATTTTAATCTTATTTTTAAAATGACTTTTTATTAACCGTTAGCAATAACTAACAAAATATTGTTGTACTCGTTCACATCAGAAGTCAGAAAATATATTTGCCCGAAATAACGTTAGCTCGAATTTAACGGTTTTATTATAAATCGGTTTTCGGAATTACGGATATTTGAGTTTACGTTTAATTGGAATATCGGTACATTTCTTACAGTACACGCTTATTTTCACATTTGTAGTAATATTTGTATGTATGTATATGCCCAACTCTTTATTATTTCTTTAAGTAAATTTGAACAAAATTCGACATAATAATATGCAGTTAAGTGTGAAATAAATTATTCTATTCTATTCTGTTAACGTATATAATATTTTGAACATGTTTTAAATTTATTTTCATATAAACGCTTGCACTATAGTACGAACTGCCTGATTTATGATAAATTCTTAAATATTTCTCCAAAAATAATAACGTGAGGTATTAGTTTAATATTTTAGAGTGCATTTTCTTCAAATTACGAGATTTGCATAAAACAGATCACCATCAAGTGATATAATGTAAAAAATGTGATATTTACAGTTCTCGAGGCAGGCCCAAGAATACCGAGAGGAATTCTGCAAGGAAATCTTTTTAGATCTAGGAAATTACCGCCAATGCCTTGCTATTAACAGGGAGATCGAGGATATGGTTATTGATGGGAAGTATTGTCAATTAAGCGTTAGGTTACCAGATCTTCAAAACTATGGAAATCCAACTGAATTTCAGGACGTAATAAATGCTCCACCTTGTGCAGGTGATGACCGGGCACGTCTGCTTCGGTCACTACCTGCACAAGGTGGCGAGGAGGGAACCGTCCCCGTCGTGCCACGAGTGCGGCGCTGCGGATGACACCGCGCAGCACACCCTAGAGGTGTGTAGCCGGTGGGATGAGCAGCGCCGCACTCTGACGGGGACTGTAGGGCAGGACCTCTCGCTGCCGAGCGTGGTTGCCGCCATGCTCGATAGCGAGGAGTCCTGGGAGGCGGTGGCCTCCTTTTGCGCAGAGGTTATGTCGCAAAAGGAGGCCGCGGAGCGGGTGCGCGAGGACGCGGCGGACGCGCACCCGCTCCGGCGCAGACGTACGGGGAGAAGGCGAAGGCAGTTCGCTGCTCGCCTGATCCCCTAGTGAGACCAGCGGGCTCTGGACAGGGACTCCGGAGCCTGCATTGCACGGCCTCACTCAACCGACTCGCCCCTCAGTTGGCGCGGGAGCCCTGGCGTAAGCTAGGGCGGCCGGGCGGCATCGTGGTGAATGTTCACTGATCCCACGGCGCCGACTCAACCGGCGAGAGGGAAACCCGGGGGGGTTTTAGTGGGGTAGGCCCTCCAGCCTGGAGGGAGAGTCCCCACATAACCTCTGAGTCTCCCTGGGCTCAGGGGTATCCATAATAATATCCCCCCGTCAAAAAAAAAGGACGTAATAAATGCTGCCGATACTATAAAGGATGAAATACTTTTGTATAATAGATTACAAAAAAAATTTGAACTTCTAGATGGGATACAAAATAAAAAAAGTTTCAGGTAAGAATTAAAGTTAAAATTATTTAATTACGTATTTAGCAGAAATTTATTTTTACGATAACAAAATTTTTCATTCAAACTGTTTGCCGTTCTATCATGTAAATTATTAGAACAGAAACTGGGAATAAGGGAGTCTCACACTCAACAACATGGAGTCACATTAAGCCGATCAGAAAAAGCTTTAATGTAATAAGAGCGAAAAAGACATTGCGCATTTCGCATAATTTCCGATCGCGTCCGCGTCCATGTGGATGCCTGTACGACCGCGTCAACGATGGATTAGCTTAATGCGACAAGTGTAATTAAATACGATCGCCACAAGCCTATTCCGCGTCGAAAAGTGTTGTGACTCCTTATAATCACAATAAATAAATAAAATAAAAATGCTTTATTTCAAATAAAATCACCTTTACATTAGGGGATAAACCACACGTATCGACGCGGAATCGGCTTGAGGCGATTATGTTTTAACCACATTTGTCGCATTAAACCAATTCGTCGCCGACACAGACGTATGGGCGTCGACGCGCCAATTGTTTCTAAACTAGGATCAGCCGTTGTCGGCATGCATCCGTAACGGGATCGAAAGTTCGCAGTAACCAGATTCGTTGGCGACTTATACCGAGTCGCGTACGTATAAACTGATGCGAAACGCATAATGTCTTTTTCGTTTTTACGTTCATCAACATAAAGCTTGTTATAATTATTAATACAAAGATCGAACACTCAGAAAAAATTCCTTCGAACCGGCCGGATTCGAACCGACGTCTTCAAACTATTAGGAACATTACTATTGTATTTGTTGTTGTACTATATTTATATATTATTATTATTGTGTGTACGTGTGCATAGTAAGTGTCGATATGTGCGTGTGAACACGTTATGTGTGTGTACGTGCGAGTGCGTGTATGTTGTTGTGTGTGTGTGAGCGTAACCGCTGGATTAAGAAATGTTTAAGTATTATAGAGAAAAAGTAAAACAAATGGCAAAAATTATTTATAAAGAATACGTAAAACAAAATCAGTTAAATTTAAGAATTTACCCTAGGAAATTTTGGGGATTTGTTAAAAATAACTTTTAGAGTTGCACGTCAAAATTGCAACGAATTTATTTATAATGATAAAACTATTAGTAGTCTCGACGCTGTTAATGCCTTTGTGGATTATTTCAAGTCAGTATTTCACGTCAATAAGCCGTATTTGAGCACGGAGAATGCGCAATGTGCTACCGGTGCCAACGGCAGCGCCATGGTAGGACGAGCGGACATCGCGCGTGTCGCTGTCTCCTTGATCACGCGCGCGGAAATGCGGCGGGCAGGCAAGAGATTGCGAGATCACTCGGCCGTGGGACCAGACGGTATACCTGCTTACATTGTAAAGGATTGTATGTCAGTGTTCGAAAATCCCCTACTTTTTGTATACAACCTGTCACTTAAAACAATGACATACCGCACTGAGTGGAAAATATCGCATGTAACTCCTGTACCAAAATGTAACAACAGACCGGAAATAACCAACAATAGGCCTATGGCAGTGTTTGTTATCTGCTTTCGAGTAATTATTCGAGTCAATACTAAACACTGCGATTAGTAGACAAATCCGTGTACGCCTGACGGACTGCCAGCATGGCTTTAGGGAAGGTCGTTCAACATCAACGAACCATAATAACTTAATAAATTACTAACTAGAGTGTATGAATATTGACCACCAGTTTGATGTTATTTATTTTGATTTTAAAAAAGCTTTCGATAGAGTTGACAATGATATACTTTTAGAAAAAATGTTCTACATTGCTCCTGGACTGGCAAAATTGTTTGCAACTTACTTTTGTGACAGGAAACAATATGTGCGACTTGGACAAACACGCTCACAATATTATAATACTGCTTCGGGGGTAAGCCAGGGTAGTATTCTTGGACCGACGCAGTTTCTGATCATCATTAATGACCTCCATGATTTTTAAAACTTCCAAATGCCTGTTGTTTGCAGATGATCTTAAGTTATACGTGGGCGTGAGTGGACAGAGTGACTGTAGATCTCTGCAAGAACATGTGGATGCTGTTGCTGAATGGTGTGTACATAATAGGTTGGAATTTAATATATCTAAGTGCCAGGTAACGTCTCTAAGCAGATCACGTTCCCCTATCTTGTATGAGTACATGCTATCTGGCGTCTCACTCACCCTTTTAAAGCAGGTTAAAAATCTGGGTCTATTGGTTGACAGCGTTCGCTGTCATTTAATGCCCACATAACAGACTTGTGCAAGCGCGCTCATCAGTCTCTTGGTTATGTAATTAGAGAATCTTATCAGTTTACCGACATACGGTGTGTAATTGCGCCATACAATGCATACGTACGCAGCCAGCTTGAGTATAATTCCATAATTTGGGATCCTCACGAAAAAAAAATACTCTTATGATTGAAAGGATTCAACGAAAATTTGCTCAATATATTTATAAAAAGCTTTATGGGTACTAACCCTTACTTGTTTCCCTCATTGTTTGTGTCGGGAATGGTCGGTTTAGATACCTTAGGGTTGAGACGAAAGATGGTGTTGTTACTTCGACTCTTTAATATCATCAATTGTGATGAAATTGACAATCCGAAAGAGTTAGCGCGTTGTTCGTTCCATGTCCCTAACAAATACTTGCGCCTTCGACAACAGCCTGTATTTGCGATTGGCACTGCGCACTGTAATGCCCCTGCTGACAGGGCGTTATCGTTGGCCAATGCCCTGATTGCTCATCACCAAGATATACCATCTATCCGCTCACGCGATACATGCAGCCGTAGACGCATACCACACCTAGAGGTGCCGGTGATGATTTTATACCGATTTATCGGATATCGAAGTTATAACAGGTAAAAGAACTGATATTAACTTGATTGCTATTTTGGTAACTACTATAGCAAACCATAAAGTTTTTACCGCCTGAGTATGTCATTTAAAAAAAATAAACAACTTCAAAAATACATCACGACAATCGTGTGTGTTATTGTTTGGGCTGGTAATTTCGGTTTTTATTTATTGAAAACATACCGTAAGTAGCGTTTTTTAAGTTTATCCTGAATATAAATGTTTATAAACTATACTTTAAGGAGTAATTTCATGGTAAACGTTAGAACCACTCAAACGGAATATTATCATATTTATCCAAGTACACCAAAAATTTTATTAGTGCTTTTTCAGTGCAGGATTTGCGGTGTATTATTGCATTTTATTTGAGATGTTTTTGTTGGTAGTACGGAGGGTATTTATTTAGCAATGCAGAATAATAATTTTTATTCATAAAAACTTGTATTTAAACTGAATGCTTTTCTAATTTGCGAAACCAAATAGCCCCCTTTTTGCGGTAGGAGGAGCGCATCGCGTGAGCGGTTATTTGATAATAGTGGAAACAAAATGAAGTCTTATAAGGAAAATTATGTTCGTATTAATCGAATAAGTATCTAAAATTTATTTGTATACGAGTGATGTGTTTTTGAAATTTTATTCTGTATCTTTAATTATCTTTTTTAGTAGTTCTAATCTATGTACGGTTTGGGAAACTGTAAGTACCTACATAGAGTTATATAATAAATAAATAAGTAAATAAATGAGAAATCTATGAAAGTATTTCGTCACTCAATTAGGTAACTTTACAGCTACCAGACCTGGCGAGAAACATCGCTATTATCTGTAATTAAATGATTATTTAATCTCCGATTTGTATATTATTTTAAATACACTAATTCTATTAGTTTTACATGCTGTACTATGTACATAATATATTGTCATAAATTTGCGATACAATCAGGATTTTATTGTTTTCGGCAAACCACCACCAAAAAAATTTATATAATAGGTAATATAATATCTTGGTGGGGACTTTTTTCAACAAACCCACACTGCGAAGCAACTACTAGGTTAGTAGGGATGAAATTTAAAAATTAATTTGTACATTCTCTTGCGCCACCAAATTTGAATATTGTCGTTGATGTCGACAAATTCTTTTACCTAAATGACTTGTGATAGAAATCGTCGGATAGTCGTGATTTGGGATAGAAAATTTCCCTTTAACTAAAATACTTTAAATGTAAAAATAGGAATTATATAGAAAATATTTTTAAATATTTCAGTAAATCTTGCGAATTGTAATCACAAACATTACGAAAAATATAATATATCTTGTACCTCGCGGTTATCGTCAACATAATGCAGACATAATATCAGTGCTTAGTAATTGATAAGGTTGAATACTGAAATAATATAAATTATGCCGTTAATAACATTAATAACGGAGACACTACAGGTGTCACTAATACCAACATCGTTATTTTTGTAACTAATGGGTTATTTATAAAATTTATTAAAATGATGTCAATTAGAGCATTTGTTGCTGTATTATGCGCATTAGTGTTCATAGATAAAGCAAATAGTGACCAAAACAATAGAATCATTAATATTGAATGGGAACCCAAACACCCAGCCTTTGATCCAAATATATACGAGGAAGTTTTAAATCCTGAGCTATGCACAAATCAATTGCAATATTTGACTTTGAATGACACGCTTCTAATGATGACATGTAAGTAACTTGCAATTTATTATTAACATTTGTACCGATCTACAAATTAAAGATATATAACACGGTTTTGAAGACCTGTATTTGAGGGAAACAGGTGAAAATCCTCGTTATCGTGAAGCCCAAGTGGAACTGCATACGTTATTTTTCTTCCTGTGAATAAGATCAGATTCGACGTTGGTGTTATAGGATTAATCGATTTGCAGAGAATCGTTTACAGCTGTTTATTCATATATGTCATTTTTGTGTTGAACACGTTATGGATTTTAGCACACAGTACAAAAATTGATAAAGTTTTATATTAGTAGGTGCAACTACGAATTTAACCAAACAGCCTTATAAAACGAAAGAATTTGTAAATACCAAGATATTGCTGATTTAAAATATTTAACTGATACAATCCCGAACAACAACATAACGATAGTTACCGCAGTTAAATAACTTAATGTGACAAGATTGAGATACAAAAACGTGACAATAGCGAAAATTTCGACCGCATTTATACGACAGGATGTTGGTACCTAATGAGAGAAGGAAACGAAAAAAAACAAAGATAATACTTATACTTTTTGACAGAATTTGTAAAACATATTTTGCTTATTAAAATATTTCCCATTATGTCGTTATCATCCAATCTTCCGTCACAATGTTGTATCCTAAATATGGACAACATTTAGATTAACTCATTCCGTACAACCAGATATATGACTCG